TACTACTCTACTGTTACTACTACAGTTTACTACTACTACTAATGTTATACTACTACTACTGTTACTACTAACTACTGTTACTACTACTACTACTGTTTACTACTACTCTACTACTGTTACTACTACTAGTACTACGTTACTACACTACTACTGCCTAACTACTAAACTAACTGATTACTACGTACTACGTTACTAATAATACTACTAGCATACTGATTACCAACTACTGTTACTACCTACTACAACTGTTACTACACTATACTGTTACTACATGTTACTACATATATATAGGCTACTACTAGACAGTAAGAGGTACTACAACTATTACTACTATATGTTACTTACTACAATACTGAATCAACTACTAAACTACTGTTACTAGACATACTACTTTACTAGCTACTAACAACTACTACGTTACTACTAGTACGATAACGTACAACTGACTACTACTGTTAATACTAACAGTGTTACTATACTGTTACTGAGGACTGTGTACGAGCAGACTTCCGATGTACGAGCTGACACGTTACTAAGTTGCTATGTACAGTTGTACAGCACAAGAATAATAAACTCGTACAGCTACCAAACACAGGCAGCTAACTACTACTTACATGTGAAACACGAAGGCTATATGACAGACAGATGAACAAACTACTATACTAACTGAGTATGCACTAGATGGAGACACAACATACTTAAAGACTACCACTTAGCAGTGACCATGTGACGTTTTAACTTCGAATACACAGTTAGAGCTATGGAGGAACAGGAAGGCAGACGAATAACAAACTACATGAAGTTGGACTACACCAGAGATAACTACCTGAACGGTTCAGGGACAGAACAGGCAGCGGAAGCCACTACTAATGATGTGACACTATGGCACACAAATGAGGAGTGAGGAGAGGTTTGTATCCAAGGGTAACAAGAATAATGAAAAAGCCAGGATGAGCCCATGGTTTACCCAAAGGTGCAGGGAGGCAAAAACCAAGTGTGCTAGGGAATGGAAGAAATATAGAAGGCAAAGGACCCAGGAGAATAAGGAGACCAGTCGTAGAGCCAGAAACGAATATGCACAGATAAGAAGGGAGGCCCAAAGACAATATGAAAATGACATAGCAGCGAAAGCCAAATCTGACCCAAAACTGTTGTACAGCCACATCAGGAGGAAAACAACAGTCAAGGACCAGGTAATCAGGCTAAGGAAGGAAGGAGGAGAGTCAACAAGAAATGACCGTGAAGTATGTGAAGAACTCAACAAGAGATTCAAAGAAGTGTTCACAGAGGAGACAGAAGGGACTCCAGAAAGACGGAGAGGTGGGGCACACCACCAAGTGCTGGACACAGTGCACACCACCCGAGGAAGAGTGAAGAGGCTTCTGAGTGAGCTAGATACCTCAAAGGCAATGGGGCCAGATAACATCTCCCCATGGGTATTGAGAGAGGGAGCAGAGGTGCTATGTGTACCCCTAACAACAATATTCAATACATCTATCGAAACAGGGAGATTGCCTGAGCATGGAAGACAGCAAATGTAGTCCCAATCTTTAAAAAGGAGACAGACATGAAGCATAAAACTACAGACCAGTGTCACTGACATGTATAGTATGCAAAATCATGGAGAAGATTATCAGGAGAAGAGTGGTGGAACACCTAGAAAGGAACGATCTCATCAACAGCAGCCAACATGGTTTCAGGGATGGGAAATCCTGTGTCACAAACCTACTGGAGTTCTATGACATGGTGACAGCAGTAAGACAAGAGAGAGAGGGGTGGGTGGATTGCATTTTCTTGGACTGTAAGAAGGCGTTTGACACAGTTCCACACAAGAGATTGGTGCAAAAACTGGAGGACCAAGCAGGGATAACAGGGAAGGCACTACAATGGATCAGGGGATACTTGTCAGGAAGACAGCAGCGAGTCATGGTACGTGGCGAGGTGTCAGAGTGGGCACCTGTGACCAGCGGGGTCCCACAAGGGTCAATCCTAGGACCAGTGCTGTTTCTGGTATTTGTGAACGACATGACGGAAGGAATAGACTCTGAGGTGTCCCTGTTGCAGATGACGTGAAGTTGATGAGAAGAATTCACTCGATCGAAGACCAGGCAGAACTACAAAGGGATCTGGACAGGCTGCAGACCTGGTCCAGCAATTGGCTCCTGGAGTTCAATCCCACCAAGTGCAAAGTCATGAAGATTGGGGAAGGGCAAAGAAGACCGCAGATGGAGTACAGTCTAGGGGGCCAGAGACTACAAACCTCACTCAAGAAAAAAGATCTTGGGGTGAGTATAACACCAGGCACATCTCCTGAAACGCACATCAACCAAATAACTGCTGCAGCATATGGGCGCCTAGCAAACCTCAGAACAGCATTCCGACATCTTAATAAGGAATCGTTCAGGACCCTGTACACCGTGTACGTTAGGCCTATATTGGAGTATGCGGCACCAGTTTGGAACCCACACCTAGCCACGCACGTAAAGAAACTAGAGAAAGTGCAAAGGTTTGCAACAAGACTAGTCCCTGAGCTAAGGGGTATGTCCTATGAGGAGGGGTTAAGGGAAATGGACCTAACGACACTGGAAGACAGGAGAGATATGGTTGATACGATAACGACACGTAAAATACTGAGAGGAATCGACAAGGTGGACAGAGACAGAATATTCTAGAGATGGTACACAGCAACAAGGAGTGACAGCTGGAAGTTGAAGACTCAGATGAATCACAGGGATATTAGGAAGTATTTCTTCAGTCACAGAGTTGTCAGGAAGTGGAATAGTCTGGGAAGTGATGTAGTGGAGGCAGGAGCCATACATAGCTTTAAGAAAAGGTATGATAAAGCTCATGGAGCGGGAAGTGACCGAGTAGCGGTCAGTGAAGAGGCGGGGGCCAGGAGCTGTGACTCGATCCTGCAACCACAACTAGGTGAGTACACCTGGTGTAGATCACCACACACTGTATACACCTGGTGTAGATCACCACACACTGTATACACCTGGTGTAGATCACCAGACACTGTATACACTTGGTGATCACCACACATTGTATACACCTGGTGTAGATCACCAGACACTGTATACACTTGGTGTAGATAAACACACACTGCATACACCTGGTGTAGATCACACACTGTATACACCTGGTGTAGATCACCACACACTGTATACACTTGGTGTAGATCACCACACACTATATACACCTGGTGTAGATCACCACACATTGTATACACCTGGTGTAGATCACCACACATTGTATACACCTGGTGTAGATCACGCACTGTATACACCTGGTGTAGATCACCACACATTGTATACACCTGGTGTAGATCACCACACACTGTATACACTTGGTGTAGATCACCACACACTGTATACACCTGGTGTAGATCACCACACATTGTATACACCTGGTGTAGATCACCACGCACTGTATACACCTGGTGTAGATCACACATTGTGTATACTTGGTGTAGATCACCACATATTGTATACACCTGGTGTAGATCACACATTGTGTATACTTGGTGTAGATCACCACATATTGTATACACCTGGTGTAGATCACCACACACTGTATACACGTGGAGTATACCTGGAGAGGTGTACTCCACGTGTCTACTTGTCAACCATCACGTCCACAAGCAAAATAAACTATTATTATTTTATATTATAAATATATAATATATATATATATATATATATATATATATATATATATATATATATATATATATATATATATATATATATATATATATATATATAAGAGAGAAGAGGTGTAGAGTTGTTTTGACTGAGAGGTCAGTGACCTGGTGAGGTGTAAAACTCTACGGTCTCTCACTACTTCACTTCACTTCACTCACAACTTTCCTAACCTAATTTCATGTTTGTCACCAGCGACACCCTCCTGTCCTGGTCACACTCTAGCAGCCACTTTTCATGACTGGATTACTGGAGACGTTGACCTGGGTAACCATAGCCTTCACGCTGGCCTAATATATACCCTCCGCGCTTTTAAAAACAGGAATTATTTATACTATTTTCAGATCAGGTCAGATTTTCTTGCTATTTGAGGATATGGCGTTTATTTTTAGCTCTGCCAGCGAGGATAGAAATTCTACCCCGTGCTATGGTTGTGTGGCATGGCTGCCGCTCCTTGTTCTGCTGTTATATATATAATTCACTGGGAACAAGGATTATTTAAGTATTTCCTTTGTGGCTGCAAGTTGAGGACAGGAACCACGTGGTGTGCCCCAGATGCCATTCTTACCGGATGTGACACATCGTAACGCTCTTTATACTCTTAAAGAGTTACAAGAAGCTATCACGGTTCTCTTAATGTGAAGAGCTGCATCATTACTTAGAGAGACAAGGTAAGCGAGCATGGAGAGCATGAGCAGCAGTGACACAAACCACCGTCCATGATGGCTGCCCAGCAGCGTCTGCCTAACACTGATGCTCTCACCCTCCACCCCACCCCACCCTCTACGTACCAGACGCACGATAAAAAAAACACACCAATCGCTTTATAAGTTTGTTTAAGTTTCACTCATTAGTTTAATTTTTTACAATAGTCTTGTATGATATATTATGCAGAACTGAACCTAAGATAACCCAGTAAAGTCACGCAAATGTCAACTATTTCTCCTGGGGTCGCTCTTGTTGCTTAGTTATTATCTTAATAACTAATCATAGATATATTCTGTTTACATAAACTTTTAATTAAGATTTAAACATTTAAAATTCAATTAATATCATAAACAATGAATGAGTTCCAGTATAAAACCCAATATTCCTGTAAATTGTCTTCACGCATACTTTATACTAATTAAATATGTCGTTTTTAGATAAACAGGTTATAGTAGAAACTCAAAGGTAATTTAGATATCTATCCTTATTAATATTTTTTTGATTAATATTTTGAGTGAGATTGTTTTGGTGTACGAGAAGTTGGGTTGTGTGAGGGAGCGAGCAGTGATCTCTGAGGGAGTGACTCACATGGCCAGTATATTACTACACATCGTGAGGGGAGTACTGCCTCGCCCACCTCTCCTGACACTGCCTTACTGCTTCCACTCTAACCAAGTGAACAATGTTACTATAATCTTAGTAAAAATACGTAACAGCGGCTGACGCAGCGTGAAAGCTGTTGTGATATGAATGTGTCTCACTTTATAATGAGTTTCTCTCGGTTGTAAATAAGAAAATCACTACATATGAAAGCCTTAATATTTGAAGGTAAAAAAAGCAAAAGACCTAAACTGTGAGTATCAAATATTTTACAAAAGTATCCCTTTCCCCATTCCAAATGCACATACGGGTTTATCGCTTCCCCGTGAAAATAATCCTATTCCCAATATATCAGCTGGAAGATGTGGATAATTTAGTCTTGTAAAATTAGCGTTTTTATAAGTTCGTCAGATATGTCAAGTACCAGAATTAGGTCCAAATGGCCCAAAATGTCACTAATGGCCCGGGATGTGGCCCTAATAATCCGGGGTATAGTTTAATGAACTAGTATGGCCCGGTGATGCTGTAGGGGCAAGGGAGTGGTTCTCATGGCCTAGTGTGGTTCTAAAATATCAGGGTGGCCCTAATGGCCTAGTGGGGCCTTAATGCTATAATGGTCTCATCTTGTGGTGCTCTGGGAACAGGGATGTGGCCTTAGTAGTTGTCTACAGACCAGGGTGTGGCCAGGTAGGAGTCCTGGGTTTGGATGTAGTGGTGATGTAGGGGCCATGGATGGTCCTAGTGGTGATGCATCCAGGTGTGGCCCTGGTGATGCTCTAGGATGTAGGGTGTGGTCCTGGTGATGCTCTAGGATGTAGGGTGTGGTCCTGGTGATGCTCTAGGATGTAGGGTGTGGTCCTGGTGATGCTCTTGGATGTAGGGTGTGGTCCTGGTGATGCTCTAGGATGTAGGGTGTGGTCCTGGTGATGCTCTAGGATGTAGGGTGTGGTCCTGGTGATGCTCTAGGATGTAAAGTGTGGCACTGGTGGTCTTTGAATCCAGGGTGTGGCCCTGGTGATTCTCTGGGGTGAGTGGCCCTGGTGGTCCTCTGGGGTCTACCTGGAGGGCATTCCGGGGATCAACGCCCCCGCAGCCCGGTCCACGACCAGGCCTCCCGGTGGATCAGGGCCTGATTAACGAGGTTGTTACTGCTGGCCGCACGTAATCCAACGTACGAACCACAGCCCGGCTGATCCGGCACCGACTTTAGGTATCTGTCCAGCTCCTGGTGATTCTCTGGGGTGAGTGGCCCTGGTGGTCCTCTGGGGTGACTGTGAGCCTGGTGGTTCTGAGTGTGAGCCTGGTGGTGCTCTAGGGTGAGTGTGAGCCTGGTGGTGCTCTGGGGTGAGTGTGAGCCTGGTGGTGCTCTGGGGTGAGTGTGAGCCTGGTGGTGCTCTGAGGTGAGTGTGAGCCTGGTGGTGCTCTGGGGTGATTGTAAGCCTGGTGGTGCTCTGGGGTGTGTGAGCCTTGTGGTGCTCTGGGGTGAGTGTGAGCCTGGTGGTGCTCTGGGGTGAGTGTAAGCCTGGTGGTGATGGGGGGATGGGGGTGGCTCTGGTGGAGGTAACAAGGTTTGATCCAGAGAACAGCTCCAAAACCCTAACTGACGAGTCCCTTACTACCATCAAAACACTCCGCTTGGAGAGTATAAGTTTCCAGTGTCAAGTTGGTGGTCAGTCACTAGTCTTGAGAGTACCATGAAAATGTTGAATTTGGCAGTTAAATTTTTGCATTTAAAGTCAGTTTAATTAAGTTTGATTTTAATGTATATGTGTTTTACGTTCGCTGAATAGGTGTGTTAATTGTATAATGCTGCTTTTGATTTATCAGCATGTTAACATATGAAATGTTAAACTTAATATATTTTTATTTATATTTATCGCATATATGAAGAGCTCTTAACTGGTGAATAATGTTAAATAATATTATTTCGAGAAATAAATCCGCAATGGAAACCAAATTCGACATGATACCTGACAGCTTAGATAATTTGTCCATGCTAGGAGGCAGCAAGCAGTGTTGAACATGACTTGTATCTTTCAATACTTGTTAATAATTCTAGAGATAATCGCCTTCGCTGCCCTGTCCCAGACCAGACCTAAATTGGAAAAGAAAGGTTACAGGAATAACTGTGAAGAAAGATGGTGCAACATCTTCCCATGTATTGTAACTGATGGTTCGACCCTGCAAAGGAGAGGGGGGAAGGTGCTTTGACACCAGTGAAGGCCTTTTGATCCAAGGAATTTGTGGCTACCCTATTCCTTGGATCAGATATCCTCCAATTCTCCAGGAGCTGTATGGCTCTCACAGGTTTAGCGCTTCCTCATGACAAAATTATTTATCCCAAGTTGCCTACTCACAGATGAAATATTTGAACACGGGAAATCGCAGGAGGGTGAGGCTAGGGCTAATGTGCTGGAAAGATTTTGTTCTTATTTCGTTGTCACAGCTATTTGACTGGATTTTTTATGAGTGCTTATATTTCATAATGACGTGGAAACAATTATATACAAAAAATAAATGCGCCAGACCCGTATGAGTCATACAACTGGTGAACAAGCATTTTTTCCCTGTTTTGAGTGATAGTTCCTGGAAGTATGAGACACTGATGGCGGGACATGGACAGGTTATGGGTTGTAAGTATTACTAGGTGATAGTTAAGGTCTCTGATGTTTGTCACCGGATGTACCTGGCTAGTGTGCACCTATGGTCCTCAGGAGCATCGACCCCGCGCCTCGCTCTCTGACCAAGCCTCCTGGTTCAACGATCTGCTTGCGAGTTTATATTTCTTCTTACAGCTGTGTGTTAGTTGTGGGTGTGCTTAATTGTGGTTGCAGGGGTCGATTCATAGCTCCTGGTCTCAACCAAGCCTCCTGGTTCAACGATCTGCTTGCGAGTTTGTGTATATTTCTTGTCACGTTTGTGTGTGTGTGTGTGTACATATGTGTACTAACCGAGTTGTTTGCGGGGAAGAGGGGGGTGATGACACGTCTTTGGTCCCGCCTCTTGGTTCACTTTGATCGGCATCGATGATTTCTATTCTCTTGAGCCTTATCATATCTATTCTTGAAGCTGTGCATTAACTTTGCTTCTTCTACCGCCTCATCCAAGTCATTCAACTTTTTACCACCCTTAAGACTAAAGAGATACATCCTTATATGCATATTGCTTATGAGTTTTCAGTTTCAGCTTGTGTCCCGATGATCTTAGGCCACCTATCTGCCCTATCAGTCCCTCTTATGATTTTGTTTTTGTTTTTTGTTTTTTTTATTATCACACCGGCCGATTCCCACCAAGGCAGGGTGGCCCGAAAAAGAAAAACTTTCACCATCATTCACTCCATCACTGTCTTGCCAGAAGGGTGCTTTACACTACAGTTTTTAAACTGCAACATTAACACCCCTCCTTCAGAGTGCAGGCACTGTACTTCCCATCTCCAGGACTCAAGTCCGGCCTGCCGGTTTCCCTGAATCCCTTCATAAATGTTACTTTGCTCACACTCCAACAGCACGTCAAGTATTAAAAACCATTTGTCTCCATTCACTCCTATCAAACACGCTCACGTATGCCTGCTGGAAGTCCAAGCCCCTCGCACACAAAACCTCCTTTACCCCCTCCCTCCAACCCTTCCTAGGCCGACCCCTACCCCGCCTTCCTTCCACTACAGACTGATACACTCTTGAAGTCATTCTGTTTCGCTCCATTCTCTCTACATGTCCGAACCACCTCAACAACCCTTCCTCAGCCCTCTGGACAACAGTTTTGGTAATCCCGCACCTCCTCCTAACTTCCAAACTACGAATTCTCTGCATTATATTCACACCACACATTGCCCTCAGACATGACATCTCCACTGCCTCCAGCCTTCTCCTCGCTGCAACATTCATCACCCACGCTTCACACCCATATAAGAGCGTTGGTAAAACTATACTCTCATACATTCCCCTCTTTGCCTCCAAGGACAAAGTTCTTTGTCTCCACAGACTCCTAAGTGCACCACTCACTCTTTTTCCCTCATCAATTCTATGATTCACCTCATCTTTCATAGACCCATCCGCTGACACGTCCACTCCCAAATATCTGAATACGTTCACCTCCTCCATACTCTCTCCCTCCAATCTGATATTCAATCTTTCATCACCTAATCTTTTTGTTATCCTCATAACCTTACTCTTTCCTGTATTCACCTTTAATTTTCTTCTTTTGCACACCCTTGTATTGTCCGTCAAGGTACTCTGATTCAGTTCCTTACAACCTCTTCCCTGTGTGCATTCCTCTCAGTTCCGGTACTTGTCTAGTTGCAAATCTCTGGAGCTTTTCGAACTTCTTCACCAGCTTGACCAGGAAGGGGTTCTGTGGCGGGGCCGCGTACCCAACCGTAAACTCCAGGCAACCTATGTCGTATATAAGGTCCTGAAGGGTTCTAGATTCAAATTCCTAAATGGTATTCTGATGTTTGCCGCTGACGTTATACGGCTTATGTTTATTTCTGGCGATATAATTGCTGTTAAATTCACCCCGGGTCCTTACTCTGATATTTGCAGATTCTTTCCGACCATGCTGTACTCTGTATCCGGTCTGTCCTCACTTAAGTTCGCATGACCTGTATGTTGAAGTCTCCCCGGCGTTTCACTCCGCCTTTTATTTTTTTTTTCATTAGTTTTAAATCATCTGTAAACAGTGACATATTGGGCTCATTTACTCCAGTAGGTCATTCATATATTAGGAACATTAGCGGTTTTAGTACTGTCCCTTGTGGAAACTCGCTCACTACCATTCTGATTTCTCATTACTTCCTATCTGCTGTGCCTTTCAGGTAGTACTCTCTCACCTATTGGAGCACTCTGCCTTTTAACCTGCATATTCCTCTAATTTCTGGACTAATCTCGGGTGTGGTACTAGATCAAATGCTTTCCTTCTTTCCATCCAAGATGGAGTAGTGTGTGTGTGTGTGTGTGTGTGTGTGTGTGTGTGTGTGTGTGTGTGTGTGTGTGTGTGTGTACGTATTCGCCTCGTAATTGTTTACTTGTTTATAGATTCTGAAGCCAGTTTATTTGTTTTTACTTTGTTTTCTTGCCTGTTCCATATCTCTACTACTGACATTATTCAAGTGTGTCCTATTAACTATTTGATTCATTTGTGTATTAAGTTTGCATTTGTCCCTATGTTTTTCTACTCTGCAGTCTTATCTTTGTCTTCCTTTTCCATTCATTTTAGTAACCTGTATGTTGTGATTATCTCAACACTTTTCTCCCT